TACGACTCCGTACGACCCCCTAGAAACCCCAAGGAGTCCATATGAATCTCTAGGAATCCCTACGACTCCGTGGGAATCCCTTGGAATCCATAGGAATTCCTCGGAATCCCTAGGACCCCCTAGGAACTCCTAGGAATGCCCAGGAATCCCTAAGAATCCCTACGACTCCCAAGGAATCCCTAGGAATCCCCACGAATCCTTAGGGAACCCTTGCGAATCCTTCAGATTCATTGCGCAAAACCGAACGCCTTGCCCGTCTGGGAGCCGAGTGAAATCCTTAGGAACCCTTGCAGGTCTTACGATTTGCACGTGTGCCTAAAGATGCCACTACCTAGGAATCGCTAGGGATCCTTAGGAATCCCTGCGAATGTCTAGGAATCCATAGGAATTCCTAGAACTCCCTAGGACTCCATAGGAATGCTTGGAATCCCTAGGAATACATAGGACTATCTAGGATCGATAGGAATCTAGAAAAATCCATAGGAACCCATCGGAATCCCTACGAATCCCTACGACTCCCTGGGAACCCCTAAGAACCCCTAGCAATCGCTAGGACTCCCTAGGACTCCATCCATAGGAATCCTTAGGAATCCCTGCGACTCTCCGACTCCCTAGGAATCCATAGGAATCGCTAGGAATCCTTAGAAATGCATAGGAATCCAAAGGAATCCATAGGAATCCATACGACCCCCCAGGAATCCCTAAGAATCTTAAGAATACTTCGGAATCCTCAGGAAATCCTGGGAAGCCCTCCGAATCCCTATGACTCTCTAGGAATCCGTAGGAATCCTTAGAAATCCCTGCGAATCTCTAAGGAGTCCTAAGAATTCCGAGGAATCAAGGGACTCCCTAGGAATCTTGCGGAATTCCTAGGAATCTCTAGGAACCCATACGAATCCGGAGGAATTCATAGAAATCCATAGAATCCCTAAGAATCCCTACGACTCCCTAGAAATCTAACAATCCATGAGAATCCCGTGGGCCTCCTAGGAATACCTAGGAATCCCTAGGACTCCCTAGAAAGCCCTAAGAATCCCGAGGGATCCATACGATCCCCACCGATTCCAAAGGAATCATTCGGAATCCCTAGGGATGCTTAGGAATCCCTTCGGAAACCTTAGGAATCCTTAGGAATGTCTACGACTCCCTAGGGATCCCTACGACTCCCTAGGAATCCCAAGGAGTCCATATGAATCTCTGGGAATCCCAACGACTCCGTGGGAATTCCTCGGAATACATGGGAACCCTTAGGAATCCCTACGACTCCCCAGGAACTCCTTAGGAATGCCTAGGAATCCTCAAAAATTCTTAGGAAACCCGAGGACTCCCTACGAATCCTTACGACTCCCTAGGACCCCATAACAATCCTCAAGAATCCCTCGGAATCCCTACGGCTCCCTGGGAATCCCGACGACTCCCTAGGATTCCAAAAAAACCCTTAGGAATCCATAGGAATCCCTCGGAATTCATAGGACTCCCTACGACTCCGTAGGAACCCCTACTACTCCGTACGACTCCCTAGGAATACATAGGACTCCGTAAGAATCCGTAGGAATCCCTACGAATCCTTGGGAATCCCTTGCGAATCCTTGAGGCTCCTTACGCAAACCGGTCGCCTTGCCCGTCCAGGTGCCTAGTGAAATCCTTAGGAACCCCTGCAAATCCTTACGACTTGGAAAGATTTGTACATAGGGATCCCTGAGAATGCCTAGGAATCCGTAAGAGTCCTTAGGAATCCCTCGGAATATTTAGGACTGCCCCGAGACGCCCCAATGGATTTCCAGACGGCCCAAGAGCCTCCCAAGAAACTGTAGGAAGGCTCCAAAAGCACTCCTAAGAGAGCCCCAAAAGTCTCCAGCATCATCGCCATCACCTCATCCTTGCCAGCATCAGCA